GACAGGACTCCTCTCACAACATACCAGTTTGTTATGGTGTTGAGCTGGGGACTGATTAGGTTGGGGCTTCCAGCCCAGGAATTTGGTTCCCACTCATTCAGGATTTGGACTACAACAGCAGCGGCACAGCTGGGTATGGGGGCTAGGGTAATTCAGGCATTGGCATTCAGAAGCATACAGAATGTACATGACACCCCCAGGTAGGGAATTTTTCGTTGTTCATTTTTCATTGTTTTCATTCCAGATGCAGGAAGACAGGCCATGCTGACAGTGGCACAGATCTATGGGCACAGCATTGTTTATGGGTGGGCATCCAGGCTGTCTGAGTGTTCGCAGCTAGGGCTTAGTGATGAAGCAGTCCTGAGCTAGCACAGAAGGAGGGGCATATTATGGGACCAGCTGATACTACTTCTGTATACATGCCATTTCTGTGGCACATGCCACTTCTGTATACTGGGGGCTTATCAGTGGGCACCAGATATAATTGTGGTGCAATGTGGAGGAAATGATTTAGGAATGTGTAAAGGGATAGCCTGAATGCTTAGAGTTAAGAGGGACTTGGGGCTGATCCTGGAACTTTTTCTAGGTGTAAAAATGTTATGATAGGACATGCACATGCAGGGTGTTGCAGGGAACAGTGAAGCACTTCCTATGCCCTGGGGTCAACAAGGCTAGGAAGTATGTGAATTGGGAGGTGGCCAAATTCATGGGGATCGGGGAGGGGGAGAGGGGATGTCAGTAATTTTGCATCCTGACATAGCAGCCTAATCAAACCGTATGTAGTATCTCCTGTCCTTATTCCAGTATGATGAGACAATACATATGTTTTCTAAAAGCAGAGGTGAGGCTGGAATTCCTGTAGTAGCATGGATTACACTGTGAATGTGTGCTCCATAAACAGAGCATTTCAGATGCTGTTATACTAGCAGCCAATTTATAACTTGTAAGGCCTTCACTTTTACTTATCCCACATCAGCTACCTAAACCAATATTTTATAGATGAAAATCCATTTTACCCAACTAAAACCCAACATAACAGTTTTCAACTTTCAATAATAAAAAAGCCAGCTTTTTTTTCGTACTTATACTTACTGTGGTCGTGCCCAAAGGCTCAATTGAGATTAGAGTTTCATTGTGCTAGGCACTGTACAAATACATAGGCTGACATGCTCCCCACTCCCCAAGGCTGGAATCTAATATAAAACAACTAATGCAAGGAACCAAGGGAGCGTGTCATGGAGAGGGAGGATGAGGGTAGCAATGAAATCATCCGGTTTCACAGACTAAATGCACCATCTGAGATTTCAGAATCTCTTTTTTTTCCTTTGAAGTTTAACTGTGGGGGCAGAAGTGAGGTGAAATGCAAGGAGCAGGATGAGTTACTGGGAGGAAGCAAGCAACAAAGAAGGAAAAGGAAGAATGGAGGGAAGGGGGACAGAGACCGGCAGCAGAGGAACTCTGTTAGACAGCGGTAGGAGGGGGAAGGGGCAAACAATCACCAGACAGAACACCCTGTGTAACACATAGGCCTTGATACTCTGGTCATCTAAACTCTCTTGATACGGAGCGGGGGGTTGTAGAGAGCTGGTTGCAGCTCGCTCCCCAATTCAGGGCTGTCCAGTTCTAGCATAACGTAGAGCTCCCTCCTGTGCAGCCCTAACTTACACTACTGGCTTGAAGTCCCTCCAGAGTGGAGGATTTGGTGCACCAGAGCTATACTCTGCTCTGCCCCTTTCCTCATCGTCCTGCCCAAACTTCCTCCCACCATCCCTTCCTTCCTATTACACTGAGAACCCAGGGTGGAAGGAGCATGAGGAGGCTGGTGATGGAATCGTTGGCTGATCTCCTCCATGCAGGCAAAATTCTGCCCCAGCTGTTTTTGGCCAGTTTATGGCCATTAAATGCTGCCTGCACAGCACAGAGTGGACTGGAGTCTCTGGCATACAGAATGGTGCTATCACCGATGTCCAGGAAGAGTTTCATACCAGCCCCACTGCAGCTGCTCCCACTCCCATGTTGCTGGGGAATTCTCTACTACCCTTGAGGGCTGGCTATACCCTCAAAAGCTTCTGCCCTTCCTCATTCTCAGCCCACATGACTAAGGGATGGGGGTGCACTACTTGAGTGGGGAGATGCCTCCATAAGAGTAACTCAAATAATATCAAATAATTGGCACTTCCAAGCTGTTGGTCAAAATCGAACAGCTTCTACTTTAATAATACTCTTAATACTTAGATTTCCAGTGACAGGTTTTTGTTTATATTAAACACAAATAACTAGATGTGTTAAGAAAATAGTACTGAAAAATATAGCATATTAAATAAGGGCACAAAAGAAAGACATGTTAGTCCTAAGTGGTGCACAGGATCTGTTGCAAGATGTGAATATAGCTGAACCGCTTTGTAATAGTGACCATTATATAACTAAATTTAACATTCTTGTGGAGGAGGAAATACCAAAGAAACCAACCACAGTAGCATTTGACTTCAAAAAGGGGAACTACACAAAAATGAGGAGGCTAGTTAAATGAAAATTAAAAGATAAAGTCACAAGAGTGAAATGCCTGCAAGATGCATGGGAACTTTTAAAAAACACCATAAGGCTCAAACAGGACCAAAAAAATGCCACCAGGACTAAACAACACAGTAAAAGAAGCAGTTAAAGACATCTTTTAAATCCTACTGAGAAAACAGAAAGTAGCATAAACTCTGGCAAGTCAAGTGTAAAAGCATAATTAAACAGGACAAAAAAGAATTTGAAGAGCAACCAGGAAAAGACACAAAAACTAATAAAATTTTAAGATGGTCAGGCTTCCTGTTTCTGATGATCAATCAGTGGGGCCACTGGATGATCGAGTTGCTAAAGGAGTACTCAAGGAAGACAAGGCTATTGCAGTGAAGCTAAATGAATTCTTTGCATCGATCTTCACTGCAAAATTATGAGGAAGACTCCCACAGCTGAGCTATTCTTTTAGGTGACAAATCTGAGCAACTGTCCCAGATTGAGGTGTTAATAGAGGTGATTTGGGAACAAATTGATAAATTAAAGAATAATAAATCACCACAACCAGATGGTATTCACCCAAAAGTTCTGAAAGAACTCAAATATGAAATTGCAGACTGTGGTATGTAAACTATTGCTTAAATCAGCCTTTACATCAGATGACTGGAGAATAGGTAATGTAACACCAATTTTTAAAAAGGCTCCAGAGGTGATTCTAGCAATTACTTGCTGGTAAGCCTAACTTCAGGCAAACTGGTTGAAATTACAGCAAAGAACAGAATTACCAGACACACAGATGAATGTGATATGCTGGGGAGAGTCAACATAGCTTTTGTAAAGGGAAATCATGCCTCAACAATGCACTATCATTCTTGGCACGGGGGGGTAGGGTGGGGGGTGTGTCAAAAACACGTGCACAAGGTTGATCTGGTGGTTCAAGTGTACTGGGACTTTCAGAAAGCCTTTGATAAAGTCCCTCACCAAATCCTCTTAATCAAAGTGTGCAGTCATGGGATAAAAGGGAAGGCCCTCTCATAGATCAGTAACTGGTTAAAAGTCAGGAAACAAAGGGTAGTAACAAAATAGTCAGTTTTCACAATGGAGAGATATAAATAGCAGACTGCCCACAAGGATCAGTACTGGGACCAGTGCTGTTCAACATATTCATAAATGATCTGGAAAAAAGGGTAAAGAGCGATGTGTCAAAGTCTGCAGATGATACAAAATTACTGAAGATACATAAATCCAAAGCGGACTACAAAGGGATCAAACAAAACTGTGTGACGAGGTACCAAAATGGCAGATGAAATTAAATGTTGACAAATGCAAAGTAATGCATGCTAGATAACCATATCCCAACTATACATAAAAAATGATGAGGTCTAAGTCAGCTATTACCACTCAAGAAAGATCTTGGAGTCATTGTGGATAGTTTTCTGAAAACACCTACTCAAGGCACAGCAGCAGGTAAAAAAGCTAACAGAATGTTAGCAACCATAAGGAAAAGGATAGGTAAGACAGAAAATATAATGCCACTACATAAATGAATGGTTCATCCACACCTTAAATACCATGTGCAGTTCTGGTCGCCCCATCTCAGCAAAGATATAATAGAATTAAAAAAAGTACAGAGAAGGGCAACAAAAATGATTACCGGTATGGAACAGCTTCCATATGAGGAGAGGTTAAAAAGACTGGTACTCTTCAACTTAGACAAGACATGACTTGGGGGAGAGGGGAAAATATGACAGAGGTCTATAAATTTATGAATGGTGTAGAGAAATTGAATACGGAAATATTATTTACCTCTTCACATAACACAAGAACTAGGGGTCACACAATGAAATTAATAGGCACCAGGTTTAAAACAAACATAAGGAAGTACTTCACACCATGCACAGTCAACCTGTGGAACTCATTGCCAGGGGATGTTGTGAAGGCCAAAAGTATAATTGGTTCAAATAAGCATTAGATAAGTTCATGGAGAATAGATCCATCAATGGCTATTAGCCAAGATGATCAGGGATGCAACCCCATGCTTTGGGTGTTCCTAAACCTCTGACTGCTAAAAGCTGGAACTGGACAACAGGAGATGGATCACTTGATAAATTGCCCTGTTCTGTTTGTTCCCTCTGAAGCATCTGGCACTGGCCAACACTGAAAGATGGGATATTGTGCTAGATGGACCACTGGTGTGACCCAGTATGACCGTTCTTATGACAATTCATCTGAGAGAGCCCAAACAGCAGAAACAGCAGAAACAGCATACAACACATATGCTAAATCAATTTAGGTCTACATTCTTCAGAGTACTGTGGAAACTGAACATGCTTTCCTGCTGTTTATCCAAAACAGCACAAGCAAAAAGAACAAACAAAGGATGGTCTGAGGTTTTGGTCATTTTCATAAAATAAAAACTAAGGTTTTTTTCTTGTTTATACAACACAACAGGTATTGCATAGTATACCACATATGGACTGATTAATAGAACTTCCTACCTCAGCTTCATTCTCTCATGCATTCTCCCATGCTGGATACACTGTTCTTCCAATTCATCATTTCTTTTCTGCATCTTCTCCAGTCTGTCATAAACATACTCATTTTCCTGACTAAGTTGGCTGACTTCAGACCTAAAGTAGTAAAAACACAGTGGTGATGGATGTTGTCAGATTTCATCCTATAGTGGGCCATCACTATGTAGTCTCAACCTTTATAAGACTTCTGTACATGTATGTGTAAATAGGCTCTTATTAGAACCTACAGAAACAAACATTTTACCTAGTAAGCCACATCCTAGCATCTGGAGACATGACACTCTGGTATGCCACTTTTTGGTAACCCAGTTATAATAAGAGCGGCCTCTCACTTATAGATATGTAAAAACCCACTTATGCAAGATCACAATTCCCCTTGCTTGGTGTGGACAATCAGACTAAGGAGTGATTTTAAAGACAATTGGCCATTTTTGGTGTCAAATGAGGTCAATGGAGTTGTATCAGATTTACAATAGATCAGGACCTGAAAGCAAATAGGCGATGGAATGCCTAGTTTGACAATCCTGACAGGGTTTAAGCAGAACAGAGGTCTTTGAGCAGTTGATTAGTTGTGGAGTGGAATGAGGACTGGGGTGGCTTTGTGCATACCTACCAGCAGAAACTCGGATGCGTTGGGGACATTAGGTGCTTCCGGGGTTAAGTGGCAGCTAAGCAATTTTGTGAATGTCAGTGGGACATAAATATTGGACATACGCACATAAGTCCTTTTGTGAATCTAGTCCTCTGTGTCCATGTGCTAGATACAGTACAGAACTGGAAACCAGGCACTCTTCAGCTCTAATCCTGGCTCTGACACAGACTCCTTCAGCAGCTTTGGACAAATCATTTATTTGAATTTCCTAATATGTAAAAGGGAATAACGGTCAAGGAAGACTCCCCAACTGTGGGGGCACTAGGACCAAGGTGGTGTCTCCCCTTCCCACCATCATGTGGGCTTGGGAGAAGACTGCAGAGAGGAGCCAGACAGAAACTCCAGCCTGCAGGGACGGAAGAAGCCAAAGTGGGATCCTTTAGCCATTCAGAGAACTTTCTACAGTTTTGACTGGACTTTCTCTGCCCTGTACTGATTGGTTGCTCCAACCTTCTCCTTCCATTTCCCCTTTCTCCAGTGTCTCTTCATCTTAGCGTCACTCCTCTTCTCCCCTTCCCTGTCCCCCTCATTGCTTTTCCCTTCAACATCCCCTCTCCCTTTCCTTTAGCTTATCATTCCTAACTAAACCCACCAAACATAAAATAAATAAAATATAATGGAAATAATGTGATGTTTGTTGCCATCAACTGTTTACTCTGATTGTAACCTCTTAGGGGACGGGACTGTCTTTTTGTTCTGTGTTTGTGCAGCTCCTAGCACAATGGGTCCAGTGCATGACTTGAGGTCTCATAGGTGCTACAGAAATACAAATAAATATCAGCAACCCACCTCACAGGGTTTTTCAGATTAATTACTGAATGGTTTATAAAACACGTTGAGACCTATGAGTAAAAGGTACTATTATAAGAGCAAAGTATTAATTTTATTAATAAGCCAAAACTGCTACATTGAGCTTCAGAGTACATTTATCAGAAGATGAATAGCAAGGATCACGTTTTATTCATTGTACATGACAGTAATTTCATCTTTCAACATCTCAGTTTACCCATGTGTAAAATGGGGATAATACAACTTAGTACCTCACAGGGCACTGTAAGACTTAATAGATGAAGATATATTAAGTGTCTTGAGTCATTTTGACAGAAAAGTCATTAAGAGCAAATTATCATCATCACATATCCATAGCATACCATTACTACTGTAACTAGTGAAACTAAATATAAGTTATGAATATATCCTAGTGCAGTGGTTCTGAATGAGAGGTATGTGTGCCCATGGGGGTACTCAGAGGTCTTCCAGGGGGTACATCAACTCATCTAGATATTTGCCTAGTTTTACAACAAGCTACCTAAAAAACCATTAGCAAAGTCAGTACAAACTGAAATTTCACAGGCAATGACTTGTTTATACTGCTCTATATATTATACACTGAAATGTAAGTACAATATTAATATTCTAATTGATTTATTTTACAATTATATGGTAAAAATGAGAAACTAAGCAATTTTTCAGTAATAGTGTGCTGTGACACTTGTATTTTTAGGTCTTATTTTGTAAGCAAGTAGTTTTTCTGTGAGGTAAAACTTGGGGTACGCAAGACAAATCAGACTCCTGAAAGGGGTACAATCGTCTGGAAAAATTGAGAAACATGTGCCTAATGGAATGACTGAATTCTAGGGGAGAAATTCTCTTCCAATTGTGATACCCAGGTGCTGCTCTGGTGGCATATAAGACATAAAAAGGCTGCAGTAGAATGGGGGAGAAAGCAGCATAGGGCCAGTGTAACTGGTTTGCCTCTGCTCTCCTCATAAACCCTCACGTGCTGGGTATGGAAGGGAAGTGTGTTGGAAGGATGAGGGGCAACACTATAGCACATAGCACTGTGGAGATTCTGGGTTATGATACAGCCCTCAGGAAGCCGCTGTTAAGTCTGAGCAGCTCATAGCTACTCTAATTTACATCACTGGCTACACCAGCCCCTGCAGAAGCCCAGAACTTGGACAGCAGAAAGATGGCTTATAATACACCACTTTGCAGTGCTGCCAACTCCCACAATTTTATCTCAAGTCTCTAGATATTTGGTGTTTTTCCTAGAGCGCCAAGATTCGTGTGATTATGTAAGAATCTCAGCCTTCATTTAAAACAAAGGGTAATTTCTATCCCGAACTGCTGTGAAAGTTTTGAAAACATAACCTAAGGGCACCCTAAAATTAAAAATCCAGGAGGCAAATAAATATTCAATTTTTTTTTAAACATAATTTTTAAGTCACTCCATTTTCGGAGGTCTGATTCATGATTTTCTTTTAAACACTTGGATTCAGTAAAAGTTCTTTTCCCCTACTTCCTTCTACACTGTGTCTTTTGCACTGTACTTCTTACAGCCACAGTACAGAATCAGAGCTTAGCTGTTTTATTCAACAATGTCTATTCTTACTCCTCAGAAAACCTGTCAATTTTATAGTATTACAATGACAAGTGCTATAAAGTAACATTTTTATTGACATAATTGGGATTGGGATAATTCTTCTTTAAGTGGATAGCATATCATCTTAATGATTTGGTTTTGAACACAGATTTCACATCCTGGTACCACTAGCTTGGGCAAGCTACTGCTGGTGTTGAGTGTAATGAGTGCAGTCTCTAAACAGAACATCAACCAAACATGCAGAAAAATAGTTCAATCGGGTGTATGTTCTTTACTTCAATTAAACTCACACAGTTGGACACCTACTGTTGCCAAACCAGTAATATAATTTATACATTATAGTCCAAACAGTAAAACTACACTAAAAGTCATTTAACAATATTTATAACACCATAAAATACAGTGTTAAAATATATGAACTGCAATATGTACCAAAATTGTAAAATTTGTTTCTCATCATCAGTGATTAAAACCAGGATCATTGCTCTAGCTTCAATACTCACAACCCTGGTGACAGATTAGAATTCAAATCTTAATGATCAATTTACAATTAACAAGATAGAAGTGAAACAAATTAAACCAACCATTATATATAACGAGACCCAATGGACTCCCATTGTTCCCCTTAATTACAAAACGCAAATCACAAATACACAATGGGCAGTGTTAAGCATCAATCCACAAGTCTAGGAACTCAGACAGTAACAATCAGAAAAAATGAACCAAACAACACAAAAAACCCTCCAAAGGACTACATTTTGATTTTTTTACACTTGCATGTGTATACTGTACCTTAATATACACTATCTTCTATGCAGCCTGAGGGGTGTATAATTCTGTCCTGAGATCTATCTAGCCCTAGGTAGGGGTTAGCTCACAATAAAAGGTTTTACCTAACAAAAAACATATTACAGTAATCATACAGGAACCATGTATGAAGTATAGTGAGGTAGGTACATAGCTGGAGGTAACATTTCATATAAATGCATTTGTAAAGCTTAAACTTAGTCTGCTTCTTCTAAATGTGCAAACATCTTATATAAGTCTATACTTCTATTGGATCTCTTATTGCAAAAGCTTAAGTGTTTTTACACACATTAATTAATATAGCATCATAGGACTCGTGTTAAGTATTATCCACATTTTACCAATGGGGAAACTGAGTCACGGAGGTTCCCAAGTAGCATGGCAAACAACATATCTAGGAAGAGAAATCATATGTTCTGATCCCAGACCTCTGCTCTAATCACTAGACTAGTCACTCTAATGTGCTGTGTAGAATCCAGGATTTTGGCAGTAACTGAAGCCTATGGTTTGGCCACTATTCCAGAATGCAGCAAAAGTGTCTTCCATTCAGACAAATAGGGCACACTGAATAAACTATATGATCAGAATCTGTTTTGAATAATATATATAGGCACCATATTATGAAATCTGCAAGAGAGGATGGGAAAGCCAATGGCACACTGGGCACTCTACACATTACTTCCTCTGGTCATTCAAATCACAACTGCTAAAATCATCTTTCTTGTCTGCAATTCTAACCTCATCTCACCAAATCCCTCTACTAGCTTCCCATATTTCAATCTTCTTGTCCTTACCTTCAAGACCCTTGACAATTCTGCCTCTCCCAACTTATCCATTCTTGTTTCTGGATTGAATCAAACCGCCATTCCCTCCATTCCAATTATGTCAGCCTCAACCCACCTCATTAATGATCTGGAGGATGGCGTGGACTGCACCCTCAGCAAGTTTGCAGATGACACTAAACTGGGAGGAGTGGTAGATACACTGGAGGGTAAAGATAGGATACAGAGGGACCTAGACAACTTAGAGGGTTGGATCAAAAGAAAACTGATGAGGTTCAACAAGGACAAGTGCAGAGTCCTCCACTTAGGACGGAAGAAACCCATGCACTGCTACAGACTAGAGACCAAGTGGTTAGGCAGCAGTTCTGCAGAAAAGGACCTCGGGGTTACAGTGGACAAGAAGCTGGATGAGAGTCAACAGTGCGCCCTTGTTGCCAAGAAGGCTAATGGCATTTTGGTCTGCATAAGTAGGAGCATTGCCAACAGATTAAGGGACATGATCATTCCCCTCTATTCCACATTGGTGAGGCCTCATCTGGAGTACTGTCTCCAGTTTTGGGTCCCACACTACAAGAAGGATGTGGAAAAATTGGAAAGAGTCCAGTGGAGGGCAACAAAAATTATTAGGGGGCTGGAGCACATGACTTATGAGGAGAGGCTGAGGGGACTGGGATTATTTAGGCTGCAGAAGAGAAGAATGAGGGGGGATTTGATAGCTGCTTTCAACTACCTGAAAGGGGGTTCCAAAAAGGATGGATCTAGACTGTTCTCAGTGGTAGCAGATGACAGAACAAGGAGTAATGGTTTCAAGTTGCAGTGGGGGAGGTTTAGGTTGGATATTAAGAAAAACTTTTTCACTAGGAGGGTTGTGAAAAACTGGAATGGGTTATCTAGGGAGGCGGTGGAATCTCCTTCCTTAGATATTTTTAAGGTCAGGCTTGACAAAGCCCTGGTTGAGATGATTTAGTAGGGGATTGGTCCTGCTTTGAGTAGGGGGTTGGACTAGATGACCTCCTGAGGTCCCTTCCAACCCTGGTATTTTATGATTCTACGTTATGTGAACAGGTGGAATAATTCCTATTTCAATTATTTTAAATTATTACTTTGCCTGCAGCCAATTATGGCTTCAAGCTTCACCAGCTCTCTGAATACTTCCTATTTTGTGAGTCTTCTTATGTTACTCTTACAATGCTGGACAATCTGAAAGGCAGATTGACTGGCAAAAGTGTTACTTGTTTACCTCCCGAGGAACCAGCATGACATTTGCAACAGGGGAGTCTCTTTTTAAACTGACCCATTTTACATTCCCTCCATTTTAATCCCTTCTCCAAATCCTTTGCTTACCAAATTCACTTTGGATGAAATTCACCCCATATGGAGAGTATGCATAAAGTCCACGCTCCACTCAATACTTACTTTGTCCTGCAAGTAAGATTTAATGGGGGATAGGCCTGTGAAGGCTCTCTGCAAAGAGGTGAGTTTCACTCTTTTGGAATACAAAATCAAATGGCTTATTTTATTTATATCACATATGAACACAAAATCTCAATGCTAGAACCACAAAGTATCCCAATTCTTTGCAGAATAACCTTCTTCTAGCTTAAGGACATGTTATGAACAGGACATAACACTATACTGTATATGAACACTATACTGTATATGATATAGAGCAACTCAAACTCTTACTATTACTCAACTACTTTAGAGTCTAATTTTTTAGTTGTTCCACATGTAGAACCATTTACCTCAATGGTAATGCCACATGAATGGAGGCTATAGAATCAGACACTTACTGAGCAGCAATTTTCACAAGAGTTTGCGGAGAGGGAAGATGTGATGAAGATCCAGAACCACTAGCTAGTGTGTGCTACTGTAAACTAAATGACTTATTTAAAAAAATTTAAGTCATTTAACCCCAGATACTCAACAGAATTCAGCTTCTTCGTGTGACATATTTATTATTTTTAGCAAAATTTCAAACAACATTAGAATTGTAGCAAATTGACTTTTAAATTTATTAATTTTTATTTGAAGAATACTAATCCTAAGAAGAGTAGAATATGTGATTTCTCAGATCTGAATAGTCCAAGTAATTTAAATGGAAACATCATTTGAAAAGTGTAAAATTAGAAATACCCTGGGCAAAATCCCATCTTGGTTTCTCAAGTTGCAGATGTCATAACAGATTTGGAATAGGTGTGGATAACAGGTTTTAGAAGAAGAGAATAATAAATATAAATAAAAAAATACAGTAAGTCACTTTTAAGTAGCAAGGCTAGTGTAAAAATGACACCTACCTGTTTTTTTCTGTTACATGTTCCAGCTTCCTTGCCAGCGTACAACATTCCTCCTTTAATTTTGCTATGAATGTATTCTGGGAGGTCAGCAAAGAATCCAGTTCATTCACTAGAAATTATATTTTTATATTTATAAAATTAAGACTTGATAGAAAGATTTAAAATATTTTCTTATTCACCCCGCCCCTACTTTTTTAAAAATATGGTTTAAATTCCAGGCATTTGAACATGGGATAATGATCTAATCACAATTTACCAAAGAATGGCTAAACTTAAGAATTTCTGAAAAATCTAAGCCACTTCTTCCCCCAGACACCCACAAACATTTATTTCAACCTTTCCAGCAACTCTTCATTAGGGCATAATCTTGCAAGGTGCAGAGTGCCTTCTACTTCTCTTGACATCATAAATGGAGTGTGAGCATCACCTAACACTACCAGGCCTTTGAACAGTTGTCCTTACTGCCTCTTTCTGGTAGGATGACCAAGAAGTCTCATTCACAACGGACATGCAGGTAACTCAACAAAGAGGGTATCTGAGGTGATAATGGACCAAAGCCTTTTGTGACAAACTACCATAAATGTCATATTCATTCTTATTGGTTTTTCTTAAATTTGAGAATGTTATGTTCATGAGGGGCATCAGATTGGCAAACACTAGGCTTTGAAGTCCTCCATATACCCAGCAGGTACAGGATCAGGAGCAGTGGTGAGCTGAATCCGGTTCGCTGGAACTGGTTGTTAAATTTAGAAGCCCTTTTAGAACCAGTTGTCCCGTGACAACTGGTTCTGAAAGGGCTTCTAAATTTAACAACCGGCCCAAAAGTGGCGCCTTAGGTGCCGACTCCATGGGTGCTCCAGGGCTGGAGCACCCATGGGGAAAATTTGGTGGGTGCAGAGCACCCACCGGCCGCTCCCCACCCTGCGCCTGGCCCCAGCTCACCTCCACTCCGCCTCCCTGGGCCTGAACGCACCGCCCTGCTCTGCTTCTCTGCCCTTCCGGCTTCCTACGAATCAGCTGTTCACGCAGGAAGCTGGGGAGGGCTGAGAAGCAGGCGGTGGCTTCACGCTCAGGCCCAGGGAGGCGGAGCAGAGGTGAGCTGGGGGTGGGGCGGGCGAGGAGGGCTGCCCACACAACAGCAGATAACCTGGGGGGCACGCAGGGGAACCGCTCCCTGCCCCAGCTCACCTCCGCCTCCTTCAGCCTGAGCGCGAAGCCTCCGCCTGCTTCTCAGCCCTCCCCAGCTTCCCACGCGAACTGCTGATTTGAGGGAAGCCGGGGGTGGGGGGAGGGGGCGTGAAGAAGCAGAGAGGGGTGGCGCGTTCAGGGGCGGAGGTGGAGCGGAGGTGAGCTGGGGCCGGGTGCGGGGTGGGGAGCTGCCGGTGGGGGCTATGCACCCACCAAATTTTCCCTGTGGGAGCTCCAGCCCCAGAGCACCCATGGAGACAGCGCCTAAAGCGCCACTTTTGATGTGATCAGTGGGGGGAGCGGCCGCGCCCCCTGTTCCCCCCCCAGCTACGCTACCCCGCCCCTAGGAGCCAGAGGGACCTGCCGGATGTTTCCTGGGAGCCACCCCAGGTAAGCACCACCGGGACTCCCCACCTCTTCCCCCAGCAGGTCCCTCTGGCTCTTAGGGGTGTGGTGGGGTGGGGTGGGCACTCACTACAGTAGCTCACGAGACCTTCTGTCTAGTTCTGGGGGCAGTCAGGGGACAGGGGTGGATGGGCAGGGGTCCCGGGGTGGGGGTGGGGCATCAAGGAACGCGGGGGGTTGAATGGGGCAGGAGTCCGGGGCGGGAGGGGCGCGGGCCACGATCCCCTCGTGGGGTGAGGAGGGAACCGGTTGTTAAGATTTTGGCAGCTCATCACTAATCAGGAGTGATAATGTCCTTACTGGGCCCCCCAAGGTATCCTATCCATCTTTGCAGAAATCAGCTCATTTAGTTCTTAGTTTTTCCTATTGAGTCTGACAACCAGCATTTGACAAATATGAGGTCTATGTCCAGTGGGAACTGCACTTAGACCACCATTTTATATTGATTAGTTTCTGTTACTATTGACCTAAACTGGGCTAAAACGTCTTACCTAGAAATCAAAGGTCTTCAATATTCAAGTGAGAAGACCCTGTGTTCCCTAAATTTCTAGTCTTAAAATCATTCCTGAAACTGTAAATAATTTGTTTGTATTGTTACTAGATTCCTTCATATTTAATAAATGATAATGAAATACATTTTATACAATTATGACTAGAATATTGTACTTTCATCTGTACCCAACTTACAGTAGTAGTATACAACATCCCCTATAATACATAGATGCATAATACCGGAAATCTTTATGTACAAAATGACCATTTTTTCAACTCTTCCCACTCTTACTAGAGATATAAAGTTGACACATTCAATCTTGTTTCAATACACTCAAATTAAACAATAGGTTATGGACCAGAAGGGGCAAGAAAGTTAGTTTTCCTTAATTTGTGCCAAATTACAGCTGCCCATATGCAGCAGATGTGCTGGACAGAATGGGGAAAGTAGACAGAGAGCTCCTTTCCCTCTACCATCTCTGTGTAGAAGGCAGTCATAATGCAGCTGTTTGTACTCCCTTAACACTAAGCAAGGCCCACTAGTACCAGTGACAGTGCTGCAGGAGGCATGTCTGCATAGGACAGAGGGTGGATGTGGCCCCACCACGTACTGTACCACTTAGCACTGGCTGGGAAGGAATGCCAGGTACCTCTTTTCTAGAGGTGTTAAGAACATAACGTAAGAATGGCCATATTGGGTCAGACCAAAGGTCCATCCAGCCCAGTATCCTGTCTACCAACAGTGGCCAATGCCAGGTGCCCCAGAGGGTGTGAACCTAACAGGTAATGATCAAGTGATCTCTCTCCTGCCATCCATCTCCACCCTCTGACAAAAAGGGGCTAGGGACACCATTCCTTACCCATCCTGGCTAATAGCCACTAATGGACTTAACTGGATAAATTCATGGAGGTTCTCTTTTAAACCCTGTCATAGTCCTAGCCTTCATAACCTCCTCAGGCAAGGAGTTCCACAGGTTGACTGTGCACTGAGTGAAGAACTTGCTTTTATTTGTTTTAAACCTGCTGCCCATTAATTTCATTTGGTGGCCCCATGTTCTTATATTATAAGAACAAGTAAATAACTTTTCCTTATTCACTTTCTCCACACCACTCATGATTTTATATACCTCTATCATATCCCCCCTTAGTCTCCTCTTTTCCAAGCTGAAAAGTCCTAGCCTCTTTAATCTCTCCTCATATGGGACCAGTTCCAAACCCCTAATCATTTTAGTTGCCCTTTTCTGAACCTTTTCTAATGCCAGTTACAGGGGTAGCAGGCGAATGTTTTCTCCCCAGAAAAATGGTAAGCATCCTATTCTGCAAATTTATAGCATCCTCCTCCACCATCGTGTAGATGTTACAGATTTCCACCCATCCTAGCATTCCATAGGGTCTAAGAGCTATAATTTGAGCCTTTGTTAACAATGTAATTGGTTAAATATTAAATGTGGAGTTATCCTTATTTTGCCTAATGCCATTCATAAACATGGAGCATTACAATGGTAAAACGTTTTGACTGTAAACAAATGAAACTGCATATTCTGAAAGTCCCTTTCAGATTAAAGGTAAAAAGCTAGAGGTCAGCTAAGCCAATGTGATGAAGGATGTCCGCTTCCACCCAAGCTGTCAGCTATGGTCAATGACTTGTATTAGTAAATTTAAACTATAGTCGTGATAACTTGAAGAATGCAAAGGATTAAACATCCTTGTTCTAGACTGGGGGAAAAACATACCAATGCTAAAAATGTTTGAGGCTGCAAAGATTAAATAAAGGAACATATCAATTTGGAGCCAGTGAATTACATCCAGCTGCGACAGTGAATTAAGAACCGATTAATGGTTAAAGCTTTTCTCCAGTTTGGATGCTGAAGCAAACTCATTAAGCTTTTAGAGTAGCTATAATGTGTGTACTGTGGGAACTGTTCAATGCTATTCAGGAGACTTTAACTGTAAGCTCAGAGCATTTCCCGCAGAGCTTCTGATGCTATTTTCTTTATATAACATGTGTGCCTGAAAATCCAGCCAAAAACAAGCCCTTTGTTTTTCTACTTTGTTGTGGTCTCTCTCAGCTTTACGTTTCTTGAATACAGGTAAATAAACTCATAATCCAGATGGTGCAACAGATGTGAGAGCAGCACTCTGAAATCAACAGACAGTGGGCAATACTTTCCATTTTCTCTTTTAAACGCTAACTAATATGTAATTCGGAATCTCCGGTGTAGTTAGCATCTGCTCCCTTCGGCCAGCCAAAGGTTACAGGTGTTCCTGATGTCATTTCACAGTAAGGCATGGGCCTGGCTTGTGAATAAGTGCCCAGGCTCTAATCTTTTTCTACCACCTACCAGTTTTATCATGCTGGGCCTCCATTTGCTGCATCTTCTGTGTCAGCTCCTGCTCTCTTTGCTCCGCCTGAAGGGCTCGGGTCCTTGCTTCATTGCTAAGACTGTGCTGAATACTTTCTTTCTCCAGTCTATAAAAACAGAAATACAAAATATATACTACTCTACAGATGAGTCAAATGCCAAAATGGATAGTTCAACTGATAATTTAAAAAATTTGGTCTAGCTTTACACAACAAACATTTTCCCCACATGCACACTTGAAGTTGAACATGTCAACCTCTCTCTTTCAATGACAAACACACCCTAGTGGCTAGCAGAAAACGGTCAAAAGCATGACCTACTTTCTGAGTGAAAAAGGATTCCTTTTCCAGAGAATAATCCATGTATTCTTGGATTATACTTTATAATATTAAATGAATCCTCTACTATAAGAAAGCCTCCCTTTAGATCCAATTTGCCTTGTGCAGTTTATCTGTTCTCTCTTGTAACTGTTTATATTTCATCTAGTGATAAAGTTGAGGGGCCTGATCCTGAGATGAACTAAACTTCCAGTGAAATTAATGGGTGTTGAGTCAATGGCAACAGTTCCCACAGTGCTCACATTACAGCTATTCTAAAAGCTTAATGAGTTTGCTTAAGCATCCAAACAGGAGAAAAGCTTCCACCATTCATTTAAGATAACAGAAGATGAAGGTAGAGCCCTGTGGGTTTCAAAGACGCAAAATATTGTAACATGAAATAAAACAAAAAAAAACATGTAAAACAAAATAGAACAAAAAAATTTACCCTGCAGCAGCAGCTCCTGTCCTTTGGGCCTGGGCCTGGACCCTGCGACCTGGCACACAGGGTCACAGTTCCACTCAGGTTTGCCTCATAACCGATGGGAGGGGGAAATTTGAGTTGAGACCTGGTGTCCAGAGCAGGGAGACCTGGGGTCCAGAGCAGGGAGCTGGATCCAGCCCCTTGGCACAGAAGCTGCTGCTGTGGGACAGGATAGTTCTGCAGCCCCTCCCACAGAAGACAGACAGACAGACAGACAGACAGACACACACACACACAGAGCCTGGGGGCCTGCACACATGTACACACACCCCCTACGGACAGGACCTGACTACTCCCTCCTGGGGTCAGGACCTGAGTGCTCCCACCTATCCAGGCCTCCCACACACACACTCCAAGAACAGGACCTGACCCAGCACTCCCCAGGGCTCACACACACATATTCCCAGGGTAGGACCCAACCCCTCCTTGTGGAGACAGGACCTGGCACACTTCCCCCCCCCCCCCCCCCCCCCCCAAGGCCTCCCACTTAAACCCCCAGAGGCAGGACTCAACCCACCTGCCCCTGAGCAGCCCATCTCCCTAGGGGCAGGGCTCAATCCCTCCCACAATACAATAAAATACATAAAAAAATTATAAAAAATAAAGGCATCCAATAACTCACAGGAAACAGTTAACATATCACAGGGGACTGATCCTGTGCGTGTAAACATTTAGGGCTTATACAGTAAGGCTGTACGCAGGTGACTAATTGCCAGTCCCACTACTAAGGTCTGAAGACACAAGTTTGCTAGCAATTTACTTGACTGAATATACAAGATGTGGCAATCACTACAGAGTCAAAATAAATGTCAAGTAACTACATACCATGCAAACCTTTTCTTTGACACACATGCTGCAAAGACAGCACTGGTAACAAGGAAGGGAAAGATATGCATATATTAGATAATGGCCTGTGCTGCAAAGGTGTTTAGTTCTGCTATGAACCACTGCAAGGATTGGATCTAGAGTGAACCTAACCCAGAATTTGAGTATGCTCATGTATATGGGGGTCGATCCTAGGTTTAAAAAAAAAAAAAAAATTCTACAGTTCTGCTGTAACTACTTTAATTGGCTTAAGAATACCTTGAAAGTACAATTTAAGAAATTATTTTATTATTCTCAGTGATATTACTCATTGCATCGGGCTACAAAATAAGATGACAGTTCTGGGAATGGGTCACACAAGGATAGTGCCACACCTCATTTGGCTGCTGCACTTAACCTTTGGCTTTGTGCCTAAAAACCCATCTGAGATATTACAATATCTCAGCATGACATACACAATGTTACATCTCCTTGCTTACATTTATGCCAAAGCAATATAAATGGTGGGTGGGTTACATTACACTCTAATTCCTGGACCCAATGCTGCAATTTGACCTCAGACAAAACTCTCTTTGAAGGCAGTGGGAGCTTCGCCTGAGGTAGGATGGGACCTGATGTGACACAAAGACGACATGTTGGCCGATGGAAAAAGAAGGAAAAAAAAGAAAAAGAAAGGAAAGTTTGAAGAAAAACATGTTTTGTCATGGAAACATTACAGAATAAAATGTGCCTCATCATATCATTCACAATCCTTGTTTTCTTTAAATCATATTAAACTAGATTGTGCCTCATCTTGGGCCAGGCACAGACACAGTATCAGTTCTCATGTTTCTGGCATGGATCAAGGAAGGCCAACGCTGACAGTAGCATGAAACTTGTGAAGAGGGTACACATGCCTCTTCGACATAATGGCGAGCAGGGGTGGGTAAGGACACTCAGGCTTGTGGTCCTCCATTACCCCTGGAAGGACTGTGCCTCTCTTTCATGCACAATGGGTAAAATTTTCAAAAGCGCTTAGGTTACTTAGGGCAGGTCTACACTACAGCCAGGATCGACGCTCTGAGATCGATCCACTGGCGGTCGATTTAGTGGGTCCAGTAAAGACCTGCCAAATCGACTGCAGATCGCTCTCTAGTCAACCGCTATACTTTACCCCCGATGAGAAGAGTAAGGTAAGTTGACAGGAGATGTTCTCCCGTCGACCCCCCGCGGTGTAGATCTCGCGGTAACTCGATCTAAGGTACATCGACTCCAGCTACGTTACTCATGTAGCTGGAGTTGCGTAGCATAGGTCGACTTACCGCCGTAGTGTAGACATAGCCTCAGGCTCCTACGTCCCATTTTCTAAAGTGACACAGGTACTTAAGAAATCTACTTCCCACTGACTTTCAAGAACACTTAAGTTCCTAACTGCCTAGTCACTTTTGAAAATTACACCAAATATCTCTATGAGCAGCTGCCAGTACACAGACCCATCTTGTCCATTGTACTTTACATCACTTCAGTAGTACAATCTTAGTAAGGACTTGAATTTAAAAGACGTTCCTGAACTGTCTTGTCATCCGTAACCAAAATAACATTAAGAGCAACGAGCCTAAGGAAAAAAACTGAAAATCAAAGAGCATCCTTTGTCTTGCTCACACACAATAGGAGAAAAATTAAAGGCTGAGCCTAATGCTAGTAAAAATGAAATCTCATTGCATTTATTTATTTTAATCTTGATGGACAAGCCTTAAAATAATCAAGAAACTCTACTACATTTATCAATGTCTGACACCGAAATTAGACCTAAAGCCATTGTAATGTAATAAGGGATCAAAATTAGAAAGTCCTCTGAAGGGTAAAATAAAGATTTTTTTAATAACAAAACACAGCCTTTTTCTTCTTTAATAATACACCACCTACCTCTTACACAATGCTTTTTATCTATAGATCCCAAATCACTTTGCAAAGGAGACAAGAATCGGTATCCCCATTTTACAGATGGGGAAACTTAGGTATAGAGACATGAAACAAATCTTAACTACTCTTTTCAAATCAGAAATATTTTCTGTTTATGCATTTCAGCATTTCCTGGGAATTGGACTGTTACCAGAGGAGGGGAGAGATTTAAGGAACTGTGGTCAGATCATGTAGGTGTTCTATGCTTTTACCACAATAATTACCAGGAACACTAGTTTTGTTTTTTGATTTTTTTAAATCAGATTTTGTTTCAAACAAAAGTATATATTTAAATTTGACTACTCATAGGAACGAAGACTTGCACGATGAGCTTTTCAGTTCTCACAGTCACCAAAATGTGTACCACATGGGGCATGAGGAAACAGAAAACCTTTGACATGAAGGATTCTCAAATATTTTCAGAATGTGGCTCACATTTTAATGCAGATTGTCTCATGGGCCTTTTATCTTCCCAATGAAAGTCCCATAGACCACTTTTCCTCCCATTCACAATAATATAGACAACTCCCTGGCAATTATCGCATTTGGTTACACAGAAGCAAATATATTCACAAGGTATTTTAATGCATTTTAGCAGCTGGAAATAGGGAGGAAGAACAGCATACAACCAGCTAGTTTTCTGTGAACCACCAGCATGTGCTCCACACACCACAGTTTGGGAATTTTTGTTCTAAAGCCAGATAATGGTATGAACATAGCCCAGCCATATGGGTAGCAAACAAATTGTGATTAGGAGATTGCAATCCATATTCATAATTTGAAAAAGTTTGTATTTGCTGGTCTAACTGTATAATGTTCCTGCAGTCACTCTGTACACAGAATTCCCACTGTACTCAAGGGGAATTCTGCACGAAACTAACAGCAGCATCAAATCATTTCAAAGCACTAGAAATTAAATATTAAGAAAAAAATCCTGTATTGGATGTAGTCTATGAGCTAACAGGCCTTGTTTGTCTCAAAACATGTATTATTCCACATACAGAATAATTAAATATGGGACAAACCTAAACACCTTTCACTTCAAAGGCAAAGCACACTTCTTTGACCATGCCTTTTTTAACGTGAACACATAGCAGCATGTACATTAAAAAACAAAACAAAATAAAAATCCCTAAACAGAATCCTACAAAAAGAAGACCCTTTGCTGCACACAATATTCTCTCCCTGGGGAGAAGAGGAGAGAGATACTAATCACATAACTTAATCCACTACCTGAAGGCTCTCAACTACTACGTTGATGAGGGCAGTAGAAGGAGCTATATAAAAAAGTTTGACAGAATTTCCTACAAGTTCTCTGGTCCATCCTTCACTAATCCATTTTCAGATTACAGCTATGTTGCAAGTAGAAGGGCAAGCATGCAGCTTCTTCACAACTTCTTCTGATACTAAGGCCTTGGGAATTAGGGTTTCAAAAATTAAAAGGAAATTACCATGCACGAGGAAGGCATTCACCCAAGGCACGGGACTTAATTTGTTTCCTCTGTTAATCTAAAAACCCTAAAATCACTTTCAAATCGGT